AAGTTTTGTATTATTTCTCAAACTATATCTGATTATTAAACAGCTGGTTACTTTAACCACATCGATTAACCAGCCTTATAAAAAGCTTTGAAAAACTTCTCAAATGGTGAATTTGATTCCTAACTCCTACACTGCAAATTATCAACACAGCAGTATACTCTGTCTGATTATTCTTTAGATCTAAGATGGTTCAAAAACTATGTGATGAAGAGCTAGTCTACACTAGAAACACTACATCGGCGTGGCTTCACCGATGCAGCTGTGCCGTGGTAGCACGTCTGGTGAAGACTCTCTATGCCGACGGGAGAGGGCTCTCCCGTCAGCATAATGAATCCACCTCCGCGAGAGGGGGTAGTTATGTCGGTGGGAGCTCTACCGCCAACATAGCACTGTCCACATCGGCGCTTAGGTTGGTGTCACTTATATCGCTCAGAGGGGTGGCTTTTTCACACCCCAGAGCCATGTTAGTTATACCGAAGTAAGTGGTAGTATAGACCTGGCCTTAGTCTTTGTAGTTAGATATACCAATTAATATAGATTACATTTCATATTCAAATTTCTTTAAAGGTGAGCAGACAAGGAATATATATTTTTAATTTACTCCTTTTTTTATGGAATGTGAAAAAAAGCTTGAATGTCAGCCAATATAGGTTTAAGTGTTTTCACTAAACTAATATTTCAAAGGCTCTCCAACTTTTCATATCAAAACAAATAAACAACACAACAACAATATAACGTCACATTACAACAATAGTAACCATGTTCGTGACACTGACACCTCAATTTTAGTCTGCTTTCTCTGCTGAGACAACACAGAAATCATGAATTCTGCATTATGGTATGGTACCTTTCTGTTGTGGGGCAAAAAACCTCTCCCCAGTATAATTAAAGACACTGACTTCCTTGTGTAATTAAAGAAAGAAGCAAAACAGTGGAAGCTGCAGTTCTCTCATACTCAAATATGCTAAGAATTTAACAATATCACACAATGACTAGCTTTTACCTCTCCTAGCCCCTCTGTAAATGGGAAGTAGACCATTTTTTCCATTTTGTAACTATAATACTCCAGGCAAGTTTAGTGGACACTATGAACACAGCAGCAGCCCACATCTCTCAAGCTACCTCCTACAGTGCTGGTGCCCAAATTTAAGACAGGTTAACAGAACTGGATATCAAGCAGTGTTTTCTTCCTTTACAACAGAGCAGTCCATGTTTGTTTCAGGTGTTCATCAGTGTATCTGACTCAGAGTTCCTCACATTTTCTCAGATAAGGGGAAGAGGAAAATTAAGTATAACATGTTCTATGTTCTTAACAGCTTGTCTGGTTCTGCTGCTGATTATTCCTCTCTGAAGCCAAAATCCTCATTTTTTCACACTGCACTTGATTACTGCATGAAGGATTATGATGCCACAAACAAAGAATTACAACCTTGGGGCAAATTAACTGAAGAAATCATAATCCTGCTTTCATGGGAAAAAATAGAACTAAAGAAAAAACCTCTAGAACATGACCAGAAAAGGGGCTTATGGAGAAGGTATTTCTATAGAAATTCCAAGTACTGTAGTATAACAGCTATTTGTATTCCAGTAGCAATGGTATAAGCTTCTTCTTTAAGCGTTTTAGCCAGCCCAACACAGCTTTTGTGGCTAATAGCCCATGGAAATTCCACAGACTTCTCTAGCTATGATCAGGGAGGCTGCTCCCTATTCCAAGAAGATATAACTTAGAGAATTTTATACTACTTCTCAACAGAGACTGTGTAAGGACCAAAGCAGCATTAGATAACCACCCACGACCATCCTGACATGGCTATGGTCTCATGATAATATCACACTGATAAAGAGTAATCCTCCTTCCCCAATACTAATACGGGGGAAGGAATGGTTTCCTGTCTGAAAAGGACAATATTCAAGAGGCTTTATAATCCAAACAAGAACCCCAATGTCTCACAGTTCTGTTACGGAACTGCCAAGGTCATCTTTACTTACGTAGAGATTTCATATGGTATGGTAAGTTCCTTCTGCTCCATGGTATATATTTTAATAATTCTATCAGCACTCAAGCAGTATATAATTTCTCTTTGACCAGAGAGAGGCAAAGACATTTTAGAATATGAGATGAGTGGAACAAAAAAATTTGCTATTAAAGTGACAATGATGTTTGTTATTTATTTTTAAACAGCTCCACAGCTAAAAAGAGAGATTGGACTGAAACCTAGAAAGGAAGAGAGGTGTTATGATGAAATTCGGTTTTGTTTGAGTGAGCTAGAAAGCTTTGTAAATATTGCATGCCATGCTCATATAGTACATTCTACGTCATGTGTTTTTTAAACAAATTCACAAAACTTGCAGCTAAGGAAGGCTGACTATGCACAGGTGCCTGGTTAAAACAGTTGTGCGGAGAAAAATATACTGAAGGTATATATACACAGAGGATTTACCAAATAAAATATAATCTATTAGTCAGAGCTGTTGGCTGAAAAGATATCATTAGAAATTAAAAAGTTCTGCTCTTTAATCAGGAATATTTTCATGACAAAGTTCAATTTTTCATTACAAGTTTTGCAGCTGCTTGGTCGATTTAAAAAGTGGCAAAATGTATTTCTTTTGTATAGTGGGAAACGTATATCCACCCTCCCTGAACTCGAAACTCACTGAGCTCAATGACAGCACCCCCTCTCCCGCCCTCCCAAACTAGTAAAGAAAAATTCACCTTCAGGTAAAGCTTAAAATATTGCAGCCCCAAAAGATGAAAGTTACAATCTTTCATAATTACTGAAAACAGGGAGTTTGAATGCTGGCCATTATACAAACTTAACCATAGCTGTCCCTTCCACTTCTACTGTAACAAAAAAAAATCAAGATTAATGTGCCCCAAATTTAAATTTGAGTCAAATTATGCAGCATTCAAGGTTTTTGTTTGTTTGTTTGTTTTAAAAACAGAACTGCAGAGGAAGCACAATAAGCACTCACTATCAAGTCACAAGAATTCTTATTATGGCCCAAACCCCAAACACTCATTCACGTGTTTAACTTCAATGGGACTACTCATGGGTGTAAAGTTAAAGCAAATGTGCATTTGAAGGTTTGAGGCCTATATTAAAAGGGTAGAGTCCAGGGTGTTCAACTAACACAATTTACTGCATATATACACTGAAGAAAAGAGATACTGGAATCACTTGTAGGTAGTTCTCTGAAAACTTCAGCTCAACGTGCAATAGCAGTCAAAAAGGCTAACAGAATGTTAGCAACTATTAGTGAAGGGATAGTAAAGAACACTGAAAATAGCATAATGCTACTATATAAATCCATGGTGTACCCATACCTTGAATACTTCTGGTTGCCCCATCTCAAAAAGGATAGAACGTAACCGGAACAGGTTCCAAGAAGGGCAACAAAGATGAAGGGTATGGAACAGCTTCCATAAAAGAAGAGACTACAAAGATTAGCGCTGATCACCTTAGAGAAGATGCAACTAAAAAGGATATGATAGAGGTCTACAAAATCAGGAATGGTGTAGAAAAAGTGAACAGAGAAATATTATTTACTCTTTCCCACAAAACAAAAACCAGCTGCCACCCAGTGAAATTAATAGGCAGCAGGTTTAATACAAAGAAGAGGAAGTACATTTTTGCACAATTAACTTCTAGAACTCATTGCTATGGAATGTTGTGATGGTCAAAGTATAACTGGGTTAAAAAAAAAGAACTAGATAAGTTCATGGAGGATAGATTCATCAATGGCTACTAGCTAAGATGGTTGAGAATGCAACCCCATGCTCGGGACAACCCTAAACCTCTACCAGAAGCCAGGGGGGAGTGGGAAGGGGAAGAAAGGTGGATCATTCCAACTGCCCTATTCTGTACACTAACCCTGTAGCTCTGGTTCTAGCCATTGTTGGAGACAGGATACTGGACTAGACAGACCATTGGTCTGACACAGTATCATAGTTCTTATGCTGCTGGGTTCTTCTATTCCTAAGAAGAAAGGGGAGAGATGTTATCTACACTGAATGCCAAATCATGTTTGAGATCATGTTAGAGCAGTGGTTCCCAACCCATGGACCGCTTGTGGCCCAGTTGGCACACAGCTGAGGCCCATGTGGCATCCTCAGGGACATACAGGTAGCATATATATTGTGTGGATGCACCAGCCCACACAACACATAGAGAGCTGCATATGAAGCCCACAATGGTAAATAGGTTGAGAAGCACTGTGTTAGAGTATGTTTACACTGGCTGTGTTAGAAAACATAACTAGCATGTTTTCTAATACCACAATGCTAAATACTAAATGGAGTTATTTGATGTTGTGTTAACTAATGTGCTGTCACCCTATGTATTCCCCCAGTGTAAGACATGGGGCAAATCAACACAGACACAGAGAGACCTCTTTAAGACCATCTATTGTGTCTGGTCTTATATTTAGAGTGTAAGCTCTTTGGGGGCAGGGACTGTCTTTTTATACAGTGTATAGCACAATGGGGTCTTGGTTCATGACTAGGGCTTTTAGGTCCTAGTGTAATATAAATAATAATAATAATAAAATATTAGGAGTCAAAGTGAATCAGCACTATGCCCATTTTATCCTTGGCCTCCTCTCTAACACTGCCAACTAGAAGCACACCAATTACAGTGATGATTTATGATGCAGTCACCTGGGTAGTAGAAAATGGAATAAACAGGAACAACTCATTTCACAGAAACTACCAAGTGTGTACAGCATGAATGTGTGTTAGTTCCCATGATCTGGGAAATGAAGGGCTCTGCATGTCAACTCACCTGAAGAAGGACAAGACATCAATTCACTTGGGTGCATGGGGAAAAGAGAATGGCAAAATGACACAAGCATTACAAAATAATGAAGGGTTGTGCAAACCACGTGATGTGCAATCTATGTGAAGAAACACTTGTCTTAACACTACCCCAGCATTACAGCTGGGGATGGACAGCACATGAAACCCTAAAATAGATGGACATCACCACCACCATGGTACCAACCTGGCACATATTCAGTCTCAAAGCGTCGTCTGGTTTCGCTAATTAAGGCAGCCTTGTCCTGCTGCTGAGAAACAAGAGGATAAACCCGGTATGAGACCCCCACACCCCTTTCCCAGGTATCCCCCTCTCCCCCAGTTCCCCCCACCCCACTCCTTTGTGTCTTCCAACCCACATGGTCTCCAGTGGTCCCCCTCCCCTGTCCCCGACCCCATACCCTCCAGCAGCTCCCCTCCCCAGTCCTTCGTGTCCCCACCCCCCGCAAGTTGGACACCCTCGTTTTCCCCGGGGTCAGCGGGCTCCGCAGTAGGGAGGGGGAGGGGACAGAGACCGCCTCGCTCTCGCGCAGCTACTCACGCCGGCCATGGTCCCGCTGAGGTTCCCCGGTCCCCGCAGCAGCTGGTGACAAGGCAGCGGAGCGGAAGGGGAGGGGAGCGCGTGACGAAGAGAGCAGCGGGGGGGGGGGAGCAAGGGAGCGCCGACTAACGCCGCGCGCTTCCCGGAACTACCCCCACAGGTCAATCAGCCCGCCGCCGTCCGCCCCCATGACGCCCGCCTGAGAGACAGCCCCGCCCCTCCCAAAGCCCCGCCCAGCGCCTGCCCGTCATTTCTTGTCTGTCTCTCTCCCCCTCCCCCCCGCCAGCCTTTCCGGGAGAGTTTCCTTTCCCACAATGCTTTGCGTGGCGGGCCATTCAGAGCCGGCCGGGAGCAGCTGAGCTGGGAGGTGTCGGCGCGCGCGGCGCACAGGGCGGGTAAGGGCGCGCGCGGGTGGGGCAGGGCCCGAGCGCGGCCAGGTGCGGTCTGCTGCCCTTTGCCCTCAGCGCCACCGCGGCGGCGGGGCCGGGGCGCAGTTAGCGAAGTTACGGGGTCGGGAGGTTCGTGCCTGTGTAACGGCCCCCGCGCCTGGCGCCTCTGGCTGCTGCCTAGGAACAGCTACGGAGCGCCTCGACCCCCCCCCCGTGTGTTCAGCCCAATCCTCGCCCCGCCCGAGCAACGCTCACCCCCTTGGGGGCACGTGTTGAGCTGCCAGGGGCCGGGGCAGGGCCGCCTCTCTGGGGTAGGCGGCTAGTTACTCTGCCTGGAAGTAAGGGATTGGCTGTGTAAAGAGCGATGACTTCAGGTGTGGGCTGAAGGGAGGACCCCGCAGCGCAGCGAAACCCGTGGCTGAGGTTTGGGCTGAGTTTTACTTTTGGCATTTAATTTACACATCTCAGGAAAGGACTTTAGTAAAGTGTGTTGGGGGCGAGGGGCAGATTGGGAAAGGTGCTGCCCACTCTTATCTAGCTTGGGAATCGGACTCTCCTGACTTACACGAACAGCGTTCATCTAGTTCAGGGGCAGGCAACCTATGGCACGGGTGCCGAAGGCGGCACGCGAGCTGATTTTCAGTGGCACTCACACTGCCCGGGTCCTGGCCATCGGTCCAGGGGGCTCTGCATTTTAATTTATTTTTAAATGAAGCTTCTTAAACATTTTAAAAACCTTATTTACTTTACATACAACAATAGTGTTGCCAGCCCAAAAGGGCCCGAGGAGGCAGCAGCGGGGTTCGTTGCCTGGTGTGCGCCGCACTAATAGACACACCAGGTATGGAGAAGTAAACCAAGTTTATTTGAGATCTCAAATTGTTGCTGAGAGACAGGCGCATCTCAAATCAAGCACAGCACATACAAGCAAGTTTTCTCTTTTATATTCCAAGCTCTGTTCAGTAAGCCTTTTGTTCTGGTTTCTCCCTCATACCCCTCCCTACCCAATAGCAGTTACAGCAGGTACACATTGTGCATGTTAGAAAAGTTTCCCTTCGCCTGCTTATCTTTTGGCCTTGCAAGGCCTGTGCAGCAGTCTTCCCCCGTCTTATCACTACGTTTCTGTTAGTGCGAGCAAAACAGCAGCTGTCTGCTAGAAAAAAGCTGACCCTTACATTTCTGCTTCAGCCTGCTTCAGCATGTAAGCAGCTAGCATAGAAGTAGGTGAAAGTTCACAAGATGGAGTCACTGTGGTTCACTTAGACCCAGAGCAAAGGAGTTTCATCGGCACTTATGGCCTTCCACTCCCCCGAGTTACCTGGTAGCTATGCCTAGTGACACCAACAATAGTTTCATTATATATTATAGACTTATAGAAAGAGACCTTCTAAAAACGTTAAAATGTATTATGGGCACACGAAACCTTAAATTGGAGTTAGTAAATGAAGACTCGGCACACCACTTCTGAAAGGTTGCCGACCCCTGATCTAGTTGATAGCTGAACTATCAGACTGAATAGAGAATCTAAGTGTTCTGCCCACATTCAAAGTTGTAAAATGTACACATCACCTGATAAGTCACTTGCAACTTGCATTTCTCACCACATTGATGGTGTGAGTTGCAACATCCAGTGGCAACCATTCAATTGGTAATTTCTGAATGTGGTCTGCTGCTATATTTGGGCTGGTTCAGCTTGGCTAGTCCAAGGATGGTTAGGTATCCAGAGAGCTACTTTTCTATCTAAAGTGTACAAGTTAGTAAAGTTTTTCTCTTTTGTGAATTATACATCCTTAATACATGTAGTTATAAGTAGCTTATTGATATCTTACATCTTGATCAAAAAGTATGACTGAAGAGGAGAGCTGTTGGAATCCATGACAAAACAATGCCATAAATAGAAAACCTTGGACGATCTCCAGATTTTGGTGCTAGAAAAAATCCTATCTGCCCAGTGAACATCTGCTACTGTAAAAAGCACTTTGCTAAACAGAGCAGAAGAATGCAACTAGTATTGTAGCTTTAATGCGAATATACTGTAATATGCAGCAGCCAAGATTTTACATGTAGTTTAGAACACTCATTTTTGTAAGATTGTCTTATTAAGTACTTGGAGTAATGGGGGGATTCCTCACTGGATGGCTAGAACAATAGTTCCCTTCCTTTTGGATCAGTCCTAGATAGAAATTTTATCAGAGGTGTTAACTTGCTTTTTAAATGAAAATACTATTTCTGCAAAGTTTGTTACTTGGAAAAACCTATTTTGGTGCAATCTTAAGGCTTACCTTGCAACTTGCACTGCACAGACAGGTACCATTTCAGCACACGGGTGAATTAGTTGCAAGTTCTGGGTCTTTAGATACACTGAATTTGAAAAATAGGAAATGGCGCACACATACTACAGTGATGAGGATGTTATAAGAATCTGTATAAAATAGGAACCTCACTTTTGCAGACTATTTATAAATCTTGGGTATTTAAGTGGTTTCCATTACTATAATATCTGACTGTCACAATCATTAATGTATTTATCTTCACAACACTGATGTGAAGTAGGGAATTACTACTATTCCTGTTTTACAGTTGGGGAACTAATGTACCGAGTGACTAAATGACTTGCCCATTCCTGTGGTAATGTTAACTTGTGTTCATTGGATGGGTATAACTTTGTTTGTACAAGTTACTAGTAGATGTACTAATACAGGTTAACAAATTACTTGTAACATGGTCTTTTATAAATTGAATGTGGTCACTTTTGTTTTTGTGGGACTGTTAATGAAAAAAAATGTATCCACGAAAACTTCAACTAAATTTTTACTATAAATGTTTTACAACAAATTTTAATCCATTTTTTTATCTATTATCTCTTTCTTATTATTGTGCAATTTGTGAATGGTAACTTGTAGCCAGGTTGTATTTCCAGGGTGGATTTGATTTAAATCAAATTGATTTAAATCACTAGTCAGGAAGACTCGATTTAATCATGGATTTGTACATAAAAGTGCATTTTTGTTGGTTGTTATAACCTTAATACATATTCTTCACAACTCAGAGATAGATGAAGGTTTCATTTTTAGAAGGTACACACTACAGTGATTTATTTTGAAAACTTGTCTGATTAGTTTTACAGCTATATCAGAAAATGAATGATTGGTTATTTCATTTAGCAAAGGTAATTGAAGCAGATATTTATGAAGTCCTTGGGAGGTGAACTATCTCCAATTCAACAGGTTAGTTGTTAATATTTGGAGGATTTTCTTGCCATGCTGTATTAGAAGGAGAACATCACCAGACAGACATTTAAATCATTTTATTTAACTAAAACAACAACGTTATGTATTCTGGATTTTTTTTTCAAAAGCAAACATATAATATTTTAACAAAAAAAGCATATGAATTTTTGAATTTAGTTAAACATTCAAATATTTTAAAATCAGGTTTGTTTTTGTTAAAATTGTTTTTACTAAAATGGTTAAATGAAATATTTTTTAAAAATTTAAATCGACTATGTCAGCCAGGTCAACATGAGAAATTTAAAATACTGGCTTCTGTAGCTAACTCAGTCATCTTCACCTTCATTTTCCTGTTTGTTTATAATCTGGAAAAGAAAAACAAGTTTTCCTGCTTTTTCAGGTCCCAAACGATTTCTCAATTTGGAATGAATTAGTCCAAAGGAAGAAAATATTCTTTCTACACCGGCAGAAGAAGCTACTGCTGTTAAAAGTGACATTATCACTTCAACAGTCTCTGAATCCAAGTGTTTAAGTGACTTCCACCAATTCACTAGTGTGACTTTCTTTAAACCACCATCAGTAAACATATATTTCTTGAATGGTTCACCTTTAGCTCTGAAGTTTATTATAGTCGGCATTATGGAGGGATGATTCCTGGATGTCCATGTCATAGCCAACTCCTCTTCTTCAGCAGTTAAGGTTTGACCCTGGTACCGAGTATTGAGAATATTTGCAAGAAAATGAGCTGGAGATAGTGCTTGTCCCATTTGTTTTTTTAATGCTTGTAATTTAACTCTGTCAATGCATATTTCTCTTTTTAAGATCTCACTCAGTTCCTTCCATATTTCAACAGCGTCAGCAATAAAACAACTATTTCCCTGCATTATTTCCCTGCATTTTGTTCAAGGCTACAGAAATAGGCTTCAGGGTACTCAGCGTGTGTTCAACATTTCTCTTAAGCCCAATGCTGAGAACTTTAGCTCTGACAGTGCCATCTATTTTTTCACGATTTTATTCACAAACCGTCATCAGATTAGGCTGGTTCTTGATATAGTGCTCAAAATAGTCCACTACTGAGTTCCATCGCATGTCTTGTTGGGAGAGTTAGCTTGGTTCATCCCACTTTTTTCAGAGCAGCTGCTGCAAAGTGCTGCTTTGTTACGGAAGTATTTTGCAATTTCAACAACGTTAGCCTTTATTTCTGGAACACTAACGTCTTTGGCTAGGAGGTGCATCAAATGAGCACTGCAACCATATTATGTTAGCTTGGGACTCTCCTCTAAATTTCTTCTCATCTTGGATACATTTTTGCAGCATTGTCTGTGACCAAGCTGCATACTAGACATTTGAATTTTTTTGTCACAGTTTGTTACAGCTTTTACTGCTACTTGTAAGTATTCTGCTATGTGTGCGCATTTCCTGATGTATCAATTGTTTCTGTAAGGAAGACATTCCCTTCTTCTGTTGTCTCACAAGCACATACAACAAGATCATTGTGGACATTGCTCCACTCATCGAGACTCAGGTTAACAATTTCACC